TATGTATGTATATGTATATTATGATACATACACTTTCCTTAAATTGAATATATACGCATACCTAATTGATCCATGATGTATAATGTCTCTCTCTTTACTTTTAAATATTGTACACGTTAAAATAATCGTAGGCCTATTTTCTCGTTAGCTCATTCTATTCTAAAAAAAAAAAAAAAAAAAAAAAAGAAAACTTAATGAAAATTTATCTTTTATCTCTGTCAATAAAAACTTGTTCTTTAGGACCATCATTCTTCATTTTTTATGTATCCGCGTATCGCCATTCCTCTTGCACAACTTCGAATATGATGCGAATGGAACGATAAAGGTTTTTGTTTGGTTTTTACGTATCCCGGTGCGTGTTATTTTATCTCTGACAACGACCGAATTGTTTTTTTACGTATCTTATCGCGGACAAGATATTCGCGCTGCTTCAAAACGTATCGCATAATCACCTTGTCAGACAGACTTCGTTGTGTGATAAAAACGCGTTATATAATTACTGCGTGCGAAAAAAAATTTGTATTCAATTCTAACGATGTACTTACCGTGCGATTTATATCGATCCGTTCCGGACTTTTTTTCCTCAAAGCGATACACGTGTGATATATTCACATCGAACGCAATTGCGCAAACGGATTCTTATGAATGAAGCGTCACATTGATTTTCGAATGAACAAATTTTCACAGTTTTTATTTTCACTTTCGGAGAATCAAAATATCGAAAGACACATCGTTTAAACGATGAAATTCGCATCAAAGAATATCTCTACGTCTTATTGTTTCTTTTATTTTTCTTTTTTGTTCTATCAAATCCATGAATGAACGCAGCAAAGAAACGTTCAACACTATATGTTGCACCTTTTGCGGACAGTATCTACCATCAAAGCTCCTCGATCATTTCGCGACTTCCACTTTGGATTTGATGGACGTCAGAAGTGAGGAAATCGAAGTCACAGCTTTGCGCACTTTTCTGTGAGAAAATTAAAACAGTGTTTCCGTCTGTGAACGCACGTGGAGTCAACGGAACACACATTCGTAAAATATACCGGACGGTTTTTCTTTTGAAAAGTCTTCCAACTACATCGGTGTGACAATTTATAGATTCATGTTCTTTGTCACAATTTTGCCAATTGTTTGTCGATGATCAAAAAAGAAAAAAACCATTTGGGGTATATTTTACAAATATATTCTATCAAATTCTACGTGCGTTTGGTGCGTTTGGAAACAAATTTGTTTGTTCTTAAATAAAGTGCGCGAAACTTTGGCGATTTTCCTTGGTTTCTGATGTCGCAAAGTCGAAGATAGCCGCGCGAGGTATTGAGGAATCTTAAAATATATCGCAGCAAAAAAAAATACGTGTGCCAGTACGTGTGTAGCACGAAAGCGCATGTATATATATGTATATATATATATTTTCAACACTGAATTGGCAGTGATAGAAATGGATATATCAAATTCATGCATCTGACTATTATTACACTTATATGCTACACGACATTATGTATATAGAGCGTCTTGCAATAAGCGGTTTAAACTCTAACTGCGCAGATTATTATCAATTATCACATCTCGTATTTTAACGATATGCTACTTTTTTGACAAAAATTACATTTCACAAATGTTTCTCCTGCAAGTCTTTAAAAACGAAAGTGTAAGCAAGATGCAAAATTTATTTAACGTTCAAGTCAGAATTCTCTGTATTTCTCTTTTTCTCTCTCTCTCTCTCTTAATTTTAATTTCAAATTAGAAAACTATTTAAATTTTTTTCTTTTCTCAGTTTATACAAACTTTGCGGAAAAACTTGGCGTTAGAAGTTAAGCCGTTTTTGCTTTGCATCAGACACTGTGCGATCTCTCAGGTTGTGAGACTCCGAACTGGTTAAGTGAATACTGATACTGGTTCTTTTTTGTCCAAATGAAATTTTTATTAAACACGGTTTTTCTGTAACATCGAGGACGAATTATAACATAAATAATCATCATTGATCAGTATCACTTTTTCGCGCTCAACAATGAGTCTATTAGTAACACTGGAAGATAGTAGAATTCGGGGGAGGGGGGCGAGGGCGGGCGGCGGTGGCAGCGGCGGAACAGCAGCGGGGTTATCTCTGCTCCCTCTGCCAAGTGTGCATCTATATAATTTCTCTCTCTCTCTCTCTTACACGCACTTGTTCTCTCGCTCGCATTCTTACAATTCTTTCACTCACTCACTCTCTCTCTCTCTCGCTCGGTATTTTTCTCTCTCTCACACACGCTTTCTTTTACACACTTTGAATTATAATCATCGCGTTTACTCAGCTACACGAGGTTTTGGTATACAATGTTCTATATACCTAACCTAATCTAGCCTAAAATTGTGTAATTAACATAGCGTGAAGCATCGTGGTGGTACTTGTGTATATATACATACATCACACGCGCGCACAGATTATAATCAAGTTCCCGGGGATCTGGTTTTTTGTTTTCAAAAATTTTTTTTTTTTTTGTCCCAGCTTCTCGACTAAAATATAACGGGAGAGAATTAGAGAGTGATGCGGGGAAGAAATAGAAATTGGCGGTAAAATTTTTCGTATGTTGCCTGCGTTCTCTCTCTCGAGTGTGTGTGTGTAGCAAAGTGACGATAAAGATCGCTCCTGTTTCTTTTTTTTTGCAAAGGAAAACGCAAAGAGGAATAAAAAAAAAAGAGAAACCGAACCACCACCACCGCTCCCCGGCTCGCTCACATGCATTGTTTTCTTGTCGTTTTCTTTGTTTTGTTTCTTCGCACTAGTTACGCGAATTTTCGAAAAAAAAAAAAGAAAAAAATTGCAACTTCTCTTCCATGTTTTGTTATCGCGCACTTTGACCCGTTCTATGTTTTTCCGACAACGTCGAGTGACTATTATGTGTTTCCGGTATCTTGAGATTAATATAGGTGCATTTTCAAGGCGAGAGCAATTGTTTTTTTTTTCTCAAGTAAATTTCCTCAATCTCGCGATTGATAAAGCGATTTTGTCTTATCAATTTTCAATTATCTTTCTTCTCCGCCGGAAATGCGCCTACGTGTTGAGCTTGTTTCTTAGGTAGAAAATACTGCATAGTCGAAAGTGGCAAGCGGGCGCTCTGGTCTTTTTTTAACCCTTTGTTTTTTTTTTTTTTTTTTTTTTTTTTTTTTTT